TTCAACATGTTTGAGAGCATGTTGCAATTGGGAATAATTGATTAATTAAGTCACGCAAAGGCCGTTGCTGTAGTGGCCGCAAAAGTAAACTGGTGGAGGACCGATACATAGTCCTATGCACTGTCACGCTCATCCAGAAAACAAAACAAAACACCAAGAACCAAAGAAACAAAAACCAAAAACAGCACCAAGCACAAACAGAACACAAACACACAAAACCAAAGACAAACAAACCAAAAAACAACACACACCACAGAGCAGTGACGTGACAAGTTCCGGTTTATGGGTGAAAAAGATCGATTAATGCAAGAGGTGATAGCTTAGTATCATCTCGGTGCATGCACAATGACATCTTGTGTGCCATGATGACGCTGGCCCTTTTCAACAAACAAAAAACAAGAAACGCCACAAAAACACCAGGGGCCAATTCAGAGGGTGTGGGAAGCAACAAAGCTCAATGCAGAAACCAGGGATCCCCCCAGCCAGGATCCCCGAGATCACAAAGAGCAGCCTTCACGGCATGACATTCACCTTGACACTTTGAAGCAAACACCGACAACGCCGGGTCGCAACGAAAGTGGTGAGAAGAACTAACGCAGTGAAACTGGAGAGTGAAACATGGTCTAATGTGAAAATGACAGCAAGACTACGGCACTCAGGGCACACTCAGAGTCCGCTCAGTAGTGCTTTTCCAATCATCATACTCTCAAGGGTTATCCATGTGCATTTCCACGAGTGCTAATTGGATAGGCGCTGTGCCTGGGGTAGTTCACTGGAAAAACGACCAAAAGGAGGGGGCGGTGAGATATATCCTAGAAGGACATCTCTCATAGCTCCATCATTGCGGTTTGGAGTGAATTTCAGTGCACCATTACTCTTGCCAATAGTCCTCATGGTATGGGAGATTGTGCTCATCATTCGTACGTGGTGATATCTGCGCATTGAGCTCTTCCGAAGACGTGCTAGCTCCTTTGGCTGTATGATCCAGTAGCAATATGGCCTTTTGCGCTTGGGTTACTTCGTAGCTGGCCGAGATTGTACAACTATCTAATATGCAGCCAAGTTGGCGGAGCTGGCGTATGGCAGCTTCCAGGTCGGCTAGCCTTTGGGATGGGATAGTTTGGATGCCTTGAAGCTTCTGAGATGCCTTATTCAACAGGTTTGTGGCAGCTTCTACTTCACTGGTGGTGACTTGGCACAGGGTCAATTGAGTAATTGACTTTGCAAGGCGATGGACAGCAGCGTCTTTGTTAGAAGTCTGACGATCCATACTGCAAGATCAACTTGTGCGCAAGGTATTCTGCAATCAGCGGGCCGCTAGGCGCTCTGTTCATCAATAGTAGTGCTGCAACTTTGTCGAGGAAAGACATTAGGACATCCGGTGGAAGTCGTGTGGCCGATTGATGTGTTGGTTGAACGAAGGTCAAACGGCAACGGGCACCATGGCTTGATGTACTTTGACATCGTACTACGCTACCCTAAAACACACTACATTAAGTAAGGCCCCCTAGAAAGGATATTATAATCCCCCCCACCTCCTCACTTCCCTTATTGACACCGGCAAGTTTACCACAGGATTAGCAGCACTGGGTAGTGGTCAACCATGGGTACCCCATGGTGACAGAACTTCAGAACCACGGTCTTAAAAATGGCTAATATCATGCCAACCGTGGGTACCCCACGTTAGCTCTAGTAGCTTACTGAAACTGCACGGACTGACCGGTGTAGGATTCATCACGGCTACCGGAGCTACTGAATGCGGCATTTGCAGGGGGCGGGTCACTGCTTTCGGCTGGTTTCATCATTTGGGCAATTAGTGGATGGCTTTGTTTTTCGCGCAGGATCCTGGTCATTTCCCGAGTGAAGGCTGCAGGGTCATCAACTAGTGCTTTCGCTTCCGCTAGTGGCCTGTCAAGGACAATGGCGATGAGCATTTCGCCACCATCTTTCTGGATTAGGGCTGGTCGGCCGGCTTGCACCTCTGCGAGGATTGCCACTGCCTTGTTTTCACACAAAGTGCGTTCCCATTCCTCAAGGGCTCTTTGTGCTAAGGTGTCAGTTTAAGGTGACATTTTACGTGCAGTAGCTGCTATCACAAACCTGCCGTCTTCCACGCTGCCTGACAGTCCCTTCATCCGTGCATTGGGGACACCGGCAGCTCAAAATGCCCACCACAGACTGGCACCCTAGCGCAAAGAGCCTTAGAGGAATGGGAACGCACCCTGTGTGAAAACAAAGCGGTGGCGATCCTTGCACAAATGCAAGCCGGCCGACCAGCCCTTATCCAGAAAGACGGCGGCGAAATGCTCATTGCCATTGTCCTTGACAGGCCACTTGCGGACGTCAAGGCATTAGTGGACGACCCTGCAGCTTTCACTCGCGAAATGACTAGGATTCTGATTGCAAAGCAAAGCCATCCACTTATCGCCCAAATGATGAGGCCAGCAGGAAGTGGTGACCCACACCCCGCAAATAGCACAGCCAGTGGCACCGGCAGCCGAACACCCCAGCGCCAGTCAGCCCGTGCAATTCCAGTAGTCTCATGCGGCCAACGTGGGGTACCCACGGTTGCCACACATGACACGGACTGTTTAGACAAGTGTTGATAGGTGCTGTCACCATGGGGTACCCATGGTTGACCACTGCCTAGTGTAGCTGCCGAGGTGGTAAGCTTGCCTGGGTAAGTATGGGGAGGGAGATAGGGGGAAGGGATTATAGTTACCTTTTTGGGGGGCCTCTACTTAAGTTTTGTTTGTTTCTGGTAGTGTAGGATGATGTCAAAGTACATCAAGCCATGGAACCCGTTGCCGTTTGACATTACTTCGACCAACATACTGACCGGCCATATACACTTCCAAACGGACGTCCCCATGCCTTTGCTCCGATGAGTTGGCAACACAGCGATTGATGGATGGACCGCCCAGCTGCTCTACGCTTGCAGAACACCCTGCGTACAGGTTAGCCTTGTAGTATGGCCCAGCTGACTCCTATGAAGGATGCTGCTGTCAATCGCCTAGCAAAGTCAATTACGCAATCTGTCAACTTGTTGATAGAGCCTTAAATTTGTAAGCGATAGAAAAGTTCATGTTGAACTTTTAGCCCAGATGTCTTTCTCTTTACCTTCGCGTTTGCAAAATACCCTTTGCAAAAAACCAATTTGCCTCCATGGCGCTAAACCTCCTTGTTCTTGCACTTGAACAGTTCAACAACCAGATGTGCCTTTTTGTGTGTTTGTTTCCTGTGCGACTTCTTACCACTGTTGTCGATGTTTGCAATGTGCATTTCCAATGCGACTTCTTACCACTGTTGTCATTGTCTGCAATGCTGCATGTCTTTTTGTGTTTTTGTTGAAACAGTTGCCATGCAATGCGTTGAACCTTCGATTTCAAGTGCTTTTCCGTTTCAAGTGATTTGAAGTTAGTGATCGATGCAATCTGCCACGCATCGGGGGCGTACCGCTGTAGCGAGCCAAATTTGCCTTGGCCATTCAGTGCACACTTCGTTTTGCAATTGTCAGTGCATGTGTTTTGCATTTTTCTGCTTCCAGATCGGCTTCACCACCTGCTTTATTTGGTCGCTTTACGGTCAATAGGGGGTGCATGGATTCACATGTATCAGCTTGTCAGGTTGATGACCATGGCGATGATGCCAGCCCGGAAGCCTCTGGAGAACAGCCACAGATTGAAGATGGCGTTGAACATGATCGTCTGCATCCATTTGACTCGCCGCACAGTGCAGATGTTCATGATGTCTTTGACCAGTGTGCACAACTTGATCCAGGTATTTTTGAGTTAGGTGACAGTTCAGGTTCACAACTTCGTTCTGGCCTTGGAATTTCACAGCGTGAAACCATTACGTTGCAACCTGTTGTTTCTGCAAGTGTACATGATGCGACTTTTTCCAGGAATCTCTTCAGCAATTTTGATGCAACAGGGATCAAACTTCCTTGGGAGACAGGGATCTTCCGTGAGCTTCTTGGTGATGGCCCGCTGTCAGAGCCTCTGGTGCCTAAGATGCCTATTGTGAACCTGTGCAGTTTTGATATTCATGACACGCCCCAACATGTCACTGATTCAGTTGCCAGGGTTGCCATGCCATCCACTTCAACCCCAGTTTTTGAGTCATGCATTGCGAGTGGAGATGATTTGAACTATTTTGCAAAGCGTCGACAGCTCAGAGATGTTGCAGTTGGCAAGTTTCTCACTGTCCTGCGACAGTGGCCCAATGCGAGCAAGACTGGAAGGTTGATTGCGAACTTGGATTTGTCTGGACAGGGACAGAATGAGGTAAACGAAATTATGGATGCAGTGCTGGGAGTAAAATCGCCGGCCACACTGATCAAGAGGGCCAATGCACTTTTGGCTTTCATGCGATGGGCAGTCAGAACTGGGAAGGGCATGGACAGCCCCTTCAACGAGCAGACTGTTTGGGAGTATTTCCAACACCTCAGAAATTCGTGTGCTCCTGCAACTCGTGCTGACTCCACATTGTCCTCTTTACGCTTTGCATTTTATTTGCTTGGTTTTGAAAGTCTTGATTCAACGCTGTGCAGCCGCAGGTTGACTGGGATGTGCGAAATCATGCTGGCAGGAAAGAGGCTGCTGCGTCAGGCCCTCGTTTTGACTGTCGCACAAGTTTTGCAATTACATGCAATTTTGGAAGACCCGAACAGACACCTGGTGGACCGGGCTTTGGTGACATACATTCTTTTTGCCTTGTATGGAAGATGCCGTAACAGTGACTTGTTGGCCATTCACTCCATCGAGACAGATTTTGATTTGAGTGGAGGATATGTGATTGTCTACACCTGTAACCACAAGTCAGGCAGAATGGCTGCACTCAAAACGAGACTGATGCCGATCATCATTCCTTGTCGTGGTGTAGATGGGACTGTTTGGACCTGCACTGCTTTCAAAGTGTTGAGGGACGTTGGAAGCTTGCAAAGCTACCAGATTGATGGGCCCCTGTTGCGCGCCCCCTCCACTGTTTCTGGAGAGTTCATGAAGAGAGGTCTCAAGACAATGGAAGTCTCAAGGGTGTTGCGAAGCTTTCTCAACATTGATGAACCTGCACCAGGTTCGACTAATGAGGTCGTGTCAAGCCATAGCCTCAAGGCCACTTTCCTTGCTTGGTCAGCCCGTTTTGGCCTCAGTCCTCAAACGAGGTCCCTTCTGGGAAGACACACCACATGTTTGAATGAGACGTTTGCAATCTACTCCAGGGATTTGGCTTGTGCTCCGGTTGCAGAACTTCAGCAACTCATTGATGCAGTGTATGACGGAACCTTTGTGCCGGATGGTGAGCGTTCAAAGTTTTTCAGAGCTGCTGACTTGCAGGCATGTGAGCCTGAGACAGGGCATGTTAAACATGAGCAACAGAGTCATGCTGATGTCATTTCTGTGAGCGATTCGGCACAGGATCTTGAAGCTGAAGGGCCAGACATTGGGGGAGTCGATGACCCTGAAAGTGACGTTTCAAAGCTGGCAACGTGTGAGGCTCAGTTTTGCCCTGCTAACTTGCTGGATGTTCAGAGTCATGCACCAGAAGACGAGACTGACTCGTCTTCAAGTGACAGTGGTGCCTCCACCTCAGAGGAATCAGACGTTCAGGAGCCGCCGTCAAGGGTAAAACGGTTCCGTGCAAGGATTCCCACTCATGAGAAGTGGTATGTCCACTCAAAGTCGCATTTGGTCCATCGTTTCGATGAAGATGCTCAGAATGACGCTCGGATACTAGTCTGCGGGAAACGGCTCACAGGGTCATATGTTCCCTGTACTGAAGCGACGGCTTGGAACATTTTGTGCAAGTCATGCAATCGCCGATGAACTGGTCAACCCAACTGACCTCCATGCCATGTGAACCAACGAATTGTGCCTTGTTGGATGAAAAAGGGATTAGCAGCTGTTGGCAAGCCGTCACCAGTGTTGCTGGCACACAATGTTCTGACTGATGTGTATGTGGATTCAATTTTGGAGGATGCACTCCATCAAAATTTGTGCAGGGCAAACCGCCTATGCCTGATTCTTTCGGTTCAATGGCAGCATGCGTTTGAGCATGCATGTTTCATGTCTGTGTCATGTTTTTGACATTACACCGCAATCCATTGTTTTATGTTTCAGGAGAAAGTCCCTAAAAGGTTTTTGTTCCTCTCCACTGGTTTACATGAACCATCCTTTTTCTCGGGCATATCACGAAAGCTTTGACCCATAGCTGATAGCCCCTAGGCATTTTGCCGCCATGACCTCTATCGTGGATTCAGAGGCACAGTTTGACCTCCGAATGGACCAAGTCAAACTTCCTGAGCCATTGCAAAGAGCCCTTCGCAACGCTGGGGTTGGCACTATTTCGGCACTTGCCTATGCGCATGGGCAGCCTGGACAGCCCATAGTTGCGGATGAGTTTCAAGCTTGGGTGCGCTCACTCGATCCCAGCGCGACGATCGGTGGTGTGGCCGCGCTCAAGCGCCTCCTGTTCGAGAGCCAGACACAGTTGCTTGCAATATTGAAAGAACAGGTGATGAACCCAGAGCCATCAGTGGCGCGCAAGGTACCACCTGCGGAACGTGAATCCAGGCTTGCAAATTTGAAGACACGCTTGGTGGGGGTCCTTATTGAAGGTCACTCGGAACCGAGCCACGCTCTACTCGACCTTGCAACTCAACTGTATGACCAAAATGTGTTGCGCTTCATCCCTTTGGAGAAATGCTACAGCAGGCTCACCGAGCTTTCCTTTAACAACAAGCCGCAATCCAAATTGCTGGAAGTCGAGTCGTCCAAGGTTGTGATCCGTGACAAAGAGTCTGAGTTTGAGGCCAGTGTGCAATCGTCGTACCAAGCGCTTGAAGCATTCAAACGAAGAGGACTGGCTCTTGATTTTGCCAACGTCATGTCATTCACAAGTCATGACAAATATGTGCAACTTCTTTTCGCCCATTTGAATAGAGAGCCGCCAGCCGGGTACAACAGGTGCAGTGTTTCTCAACTGCTGGCTGCAGACAAGTCAGCCTGGTGCCACCTCATTGAAAAGAATGTGAAGCCCCGGCCGGACATTGCTGGAGCGTTGGAGCTGGACACAAAGCTTGAGGAGGCACTCAAGTCCTATGAAGTGAGTTTTTCTCTCCTACCGATGATCGCTAAACAAACACAGAAGACAGCGACACCAGCAGCTGCTCCATCAGCCAAGGCACAACCCCTTCCAACCGCCAAGGGTAACAGGAAGGGGTTCAACAGATACCGACCATATGCAGCCAAAGGGAAGGGAAAATCCAAAGGAAAATTTGATCAACGAATCCCAAAGGAAATCCGAGAATCGGGCGGCACTGCTTCGACCCCCGATGGAGATCCCATTTGCTTTGATTACTCGCTCAAGAAATGCAAAGAAACAGTCAGTGATGGCCGATGCCGGAAAGGATATCATCTCTGTTGCATTTGCTATGGCCAGCATAGCATGATGGACCACAAGAAATCGTGACTATCAGACAACATGACGGCTGCCAAGAAGCGCAAATTTGATGCATGTACAGAAGGTGATTCTAGGCAACCGACTGCATGGAAGCACAACGCACCCCAAAGGGGTAACAGAAAAGACTTTTGCAACAGTCCAAATATTATGCATGATCGGCCTTCCAGTTTTCAAAACATTCCATCTCACGCAGGTGAGGGCTTGCGTGACCATTGCCAAAGGGATTTCACCAGTGCAAAACCTATGCCCCTTGAGCCATTCATTCTTGAAGTTTGTGCAGGATCTGCCAGGGTCACTGCCTGTCTTCAAGCTGTGGGACTACACGCATCCTTTGGAGTAGATCACAAGAAACAAAAGAATTCTGGACGAGTTTTGGTGGCCGATCTAACCACCAAAGAAGGGCAGGCACTTTGCTGGTCTTGGATTAAATCCCCTAGTTGCATGGGGATTTTCTGTGCTCCTCCCTGTGGGACCTGTAGCAGAGCCAGAGGCATACCAATAACCCTGCCCAATGGCCATAAGGTAGCAGGGCCGCAGCCTTTGCGAACTGAAACCATGCCCGACGGTGTGCACCACATGAGTTGGCTTAATCGCCGTCGTGTCCAATCAGCGAACACCTTGTATGCCTTCATAACCAAGATTGCTTTGTATTGCTTGAAATTGAACCTCATTGTGATAATTGAAAACCCGAGATCCTCCTTATTTTGGCGGACTTCATTCTTTGCTCCTCTGAGGCGCTTGTTGCGATACACTGCACATCAGGCATGCGCCTACGGTTCTGAGAGACCAAAATGGACGGTGTTAGCACACAACACGCAGTCCCTTCTTGCTCTATGTAAATTGTGTCCAGGAACCAGTCGCTCCCACAAGCATAAACCATGGGGCGTAGTGGACAAACCTGGTAATACCAAGCAATTTTCAACGGCAGAAGAGACGGCCTACCCTTTGCCATTAGCATACGCCATCGCCTTTGGCATTGCACAGGAGCTGATATTGCTTGGTTGGCAGCCGCCACCCTGGCAGTTGACCCCTCCTGATCAGGTGTCTTTCCACTATTTGCGCTCAATCGTCGGTGTTCAGCCCAAAGCCAGCAAGCTGCCACCATTGTTGTCCGAGTTTTCGCATGTCATGAAAATAACCATTCCAGCCGATGGTTGCCCAATTGCAGTTGGCCAAAAACTCCAATCGCCCTGGAATGCCATTCCAGCCGGTGCAAAACTGTTACGACGGCCTCCGCTCCGGTTAAATGGGGGTAATTCGGTTGGTGATGATAAGTTTGGGAGTCCTTCTTTAGGGGGCGTTGTGGTTGTTGATAATGGGGATTCCTCCAGCCCCATTCCCTCCGTGCCTGCTTGTCCGTCCCTTAATATTAGTCCTCCCAATGTAGGCCCCATAAAGCCTGATTTAGGATGCAGTGACCGTGATGAGAGTGATCAGGTTGCCCATTTTGGAGTCTACAGGACGTGCGACCAGTTTGTTAAAGATGCTGTAAGTGCTGGCCACCCAGTTGGTGGAGCTTCGAGACTCCCAAATCCCTTGCCGGAAGTGGTGATGCATGTGTCTAGCACCCCTGTTCATGTTTTGGCAAAACAACGACTTGAAACGCTCCAGTTCTGGCTTGATAGAGGCAGGCGGTTGGCTGGTGAAGAATCTCAACTCCACTCTGGCTTGCCGTCAGCCCTACGTGGTATTTTGGCTCCGAAGAGGTTGCTTTTGTGGAAGGAGATGATGGAATATTATCACTACCCAGATGTCGCTGTGTTCGATGAGGTGGTGCATGGCGTTGACCTGGCAGGGCCTGCCCCAGTCGTGCCGTTTTTCGACCCGTGCTTCAGACCGGCTAAGGTATCCACTTCAGAACTTGCGCAGACCGCTGCAAGTGCCCGCGCATCATTGTTGGCCACTGTTGGGCCTTCTGGAGATGATGACCTTGATGAGGCCGTATATTCTAAGACGCTCGAGGAACTCGACTGCGGTTGGTTGGATGGACCGTATGAGCCTCGAGAACTCCAGGATGACGCTGTGGTCAGCCGACGCTTCGGCATAAGACAATCTTCAGGGGAAGGCTCTAAGGTGAGGCTCATAGATGACTTTTCAGGGTCGGGTGTCAACGACACAGTACAAGTCGAAAGTGCGGTCAAACTACACACCCTTGATGTTGCCGCTGCGTTGTGCATGGAACTCCTCAGAGTCGATGGAGGTCAGCAGTGGCTTGGAAAAACAATGGATCTTTCAGCTGCGTATCGGCAGCTGGGAATCTCACCGGGTTCCCGTTGGGTGTCGTACATTGCCGTGTACGACCCTAGCAACCGCAGGGTGAAGATCTTTGCGATGAGGGCCCTACCATTTGGGGCTAGCAGATCAGTCTACAGCTTCTTGAGAGTTTCCCATTCGCTCTGGTGGCTTGGCTGTATGGCCCTGAGACTTGTTTGGAGTAATTTCTTCGATGACTTCATCACCTTTGCAAGAGCGGTGGAATCGGAGTCTGTGGCAATAGCTGCACTGCAATTTTTCCGCCTGTTAGGTTGGGCAGTATCGACTGGTGACAAGGATTTGCCATTTGCCGAAAAATTTAAAGCTCTTGGAGTCGAGATTGATTGTGCAGCCTGGCGAGATGGCAAGGTTTACTTCGCCAACACAGAGAAGCGGGTAAAAGAGTTGGCCGCGACCATTGATGATGTGTTACTGACCGGCCGCCTCACCAAACAGGCTGCCCTTGTGCTCCGAGGAAGAATGCAGTTTGCTAAGGCTCAGCTTTGGGGTCGTGCAGCGCGCCTTTGTTTGAATGCTGTGACCGCTCATGCATACAGTGCGTTGGGGGACACCATTGGGGAGCACACAGCATCCCTCCTCAGAGTCTTCCGTGGCCTCCTTTCAACAGCCAGACCGCGAGAGATCACTGTGCATTGGAACGTCCCATATTTTTTGTTCACTGACGCTGCATTCTCGCCTGAGGATGCCAGTTGGCCAGGGGGCCTTGGGGGAGTGCTTGTGAACTCACAGGGTGAACAAGTGTCAGCTTTCTCTTTCATGCTCAGACCTGAGGATCTGGCTGCCCTAGGCTATCCGGAAAAGAGCACAGTTATTTTTGAAGCTGAACTTTTGGCACTTTTGGTTTCCTTCATGCTTTGGAAGAAATATTTAAAGGGCCATCCGTGCGTCGCCTATGTGGATAACAATTCTACCAGGGATGTTTGCATTAGCGGCTCTGCCAGGACGTATCCAGGGTCAGGCCTTGTTGCACAGGTCCTTGCAGTTGAAGACTCCCAGGGGATGCTCCCTTGGTTCGCAAGAGTCCCATCAGAAAGCAATATCGCAGACGGGCCGTCCCGAGGCTCGACAGACGGTATAAAAGCAAAGTTTTTGTCCCCTTTGTTAGTTGGAGTGACAGTGGCTAAGTGCTTGCAGAAACTTTCCTCACACTCCGGTTAAGATGGGGTGATATGGCGCGAATGTTTTTGAATAGAGCATGCCGCTCTGGGATGAGATGACAGATGTCAATGGATTTCATTTTTGTTTTGGACTGGAACTCCTATGCCAGGAGGATCATGGGTATGTTTGGACGCCAAATTTTTCAGCTGCCTGATGTAAGGCATGATGCTGATTCGAACTGTCGAATTTCCCATTGTTGCGCACCGAGGAAAAGAAGTATGTGCTGCAGTTTCGTGAAGCCACATTTCTTTTGATGTCACTCGTTTGTTTTTCATTTGGTTATGTTGGTTTATTTTTTTGGCGCGGTTTTTACGCAATGTAATAAGGAGGTATTGACATCTGGGCGGCGATAGCGCAAATTTAAGCAATCTGTCAACTTGTTGATAGAGCCTTAAATTTGTAAGCGATAGAAAAGTTCATGTTGAACTTTTAGCCCAGATGTCTTTCTCTTGACCTTCGCGTTTGCAAAATACCCTTTGCAAAAAAACAATTTGCCTCCATGGCGCTAAACCTCCTTGTTCTTGCACTTGAACAGTTCAACAACCAGATGTGCCTTTTTGTGTGTTTGTTTCCTGTGCGACTTCTTACCACTGTTGTCGATGTTTGCAATGTGCATTTCCAATGCGACTTCTTACCACTGTTGTCATTGTCTGCAATGCTGCATGTCTTTTTGTGTTTTTGTTGAAACAGTTGCCATGCAATGCGTTGAACCTTCGATTTCAAGTGCTTTTCCGTTTCAAGTGATTTGAAGTTCCCACCCGTTTGCACTCCCACCCTTGTTTTTAAATTTTGTTCACACTCCAGCATCTTTGGCCACAGCTTGCACCCTCGCATTCCCGGTGTCTCGCTTCGATGTCACCTGAGTTCATAGTAAATTTTACTGCAGCAGTGTCGATCGCCCTGGCCTTCCTTGAACCGACTCACTTCAATCTCGTCACAGCCCAAACGATGCAGGAGCAGCGCATCGAGCAATTTGACAGGATTATTGTTGGTTGCCGTATGTTGTTGGAAACTTGCGGCAGAACCAAGTTCCTTTCATCGATATTCAGCCTTTGGTCGCAGACCAGTCAGTCATTGTACCTTTTAGAGCGAACCTTATGGCCGGGGCAACCGGCCGAGACGCCCTTGCACCTCAACCTACCTGGGGAAGGGCGGCCTTTGACCGAGATTCTTCTCGACAATTTCGATGCTTATGTTGACAGCATTTTCAATGCGATCCCTGCGCTTGATTCATTTACAACTTGGTTCACACAGAACTATGATACATCGCTGCACTCTGAATTTCATGAAGTTTTACTTGATTCGATGCTTCTGTTTCGCAGCGCTGAGGTCATCCTACGGATGAAGCGCCGTTTTCGCGCTCTCAGCCCGCAGGAACCACTCCAAGACCCTATTGCTACGGCTGCACCTGCACTGGCTGCCCCCCCGCACGCCAACATTCCTGCTGCTGCTGAACCTTCAGCCACGAATCCTCCTACGACATCAAGCTCCACTGGCACTACATTGGAGTTCTATTGACGCAGGGGTGATATGGCGCGAATGTTTTTGAATAGAGCATGCCGCTCTGGGATGAGATGACAGATGTCAATGGATTTCATTTTTGTTTTGGACTGGAACTCCTATGCCAGGAGGATCATGGGTATGTTTGGACGCCAAATTTTTCAGCTGCCTGATGTAAGGCATGATGCTGATTCGAACTGTCGAATTTCCCATTGTTGCGCACCGAGGAAAAGAAGTATGTGCTGCAGTTTCGTGAAGCCACATTTCTTTTGATGTCACTCGTTTGTTTTTCATTTGGTTATGTTGGTTTATTTTTTTGGCGCGGTTTTTACGCAATGTAATAAGGAGGTATTGACATCTGGGCGGCGATAGCGCAAATTTAATCAACTGACCCTGTGTCAGGTCACTACCAGTGAAGTAGATGCTGCCGCCAAACTGCTCGACAAGGCATGTCAGAAGCTTCAAGGTATCCAGAATATCCCATCCCAGAGGGTCACTGACCTCGAAGCTGCCATACGCCAACTCCGCCAAATTAGCTGTATATTGGATAGTTGTACAATCTCTGCCAGCTACGAAGTAAGCCAAGCGCAGAAAGCCATACTGCCACTGCCACATACAGCTAAAGGAGCTAGCACTTCATCGGAAGAGCTTAATGCACAGATATCACCACGCACTGATGATGAGCACAATCTCCCATACCATGAAGACTACTTGCAAGAGCACTAGTGCACTGGAACTTTCCGCAAACCGCAGCTCCCATGATGCTGATGCTAGGAAAAGCACTACTGAGCGGACTCTGAGTGCGCCCTGAATGCCGTAGCTTTGCTGTCATTTTCACATTTGACCATGTCTCACCCTCCTGTTTCACCGTTCTCTCTTTTCTCACCACTCTCGTTGCGACCCGGCGTTGTCGGTGTTTGCTTCGAAGTGCCTGGGTGAATGTCATGCCTGTACGGCTGCTCTTTGTGATCTCGGAGATCCTGGCTGGGGGGATCCCTGGTTTCCGCTTTTGGTTTGTTCTGTTTTGTGTTTTGTTTGGGCCATTCTCAGAATGACACATAAGATGTCATCATGCATGTAATTCCCACTGCTGGTTGCAATCCCTTCTCTGTCTTTTTTGTCTGGTGTTTGTTTTGGTTGTGGTTTTGGTTTGTTTGTTTGCTGTTTTTGCTTTGTTGTTTTTGCCTTGTTGTTTTTGGTTTGTTTTCTTGTTTGTTCTCTTGTTGGGACAGTTTCTGGACTGCGTACTGGTCCACAACCGGCACTTTTGTGGCGTTCTACAAATGGACGGCCCTGCATGAAAATACAATTCAGCATTTGCCGCGATTGAATGTGTGTAACGACCTGGCGGAAGCCATGAAGGCGTTGGACGGAAAAAACCAGCAGGAAGTAGTGACCCACCTCCCTCAAACAGTGCTGCCAGTAGCACCAGCAACCATGAACACCCCAGCGCCGGTACGCCCGTGCAGTTCCAGTAGTCTCAAATGGTTAACGTGGGGTACCCACGGTTGCCACAAATGACGAGTGACCACTGTAACACAGGTGCTGTCACCATGGGGTACCCATGGTTGACTAGTGCCTAGTGGACCTAGGACACCCCTTTCACCTTAGGCAACTGATTGTGTGGCAAGCTAGCCTTGGTCAGTATGGGGAACAAACAGAATTCCTTGCAGGCGTAATCAACGAGCAAGATTGTAGAGCCATACGCACGGCTTGCTGTTGCCTAAAGAGTCTGCGCATCCGTGTAGAGGCCCGAGCCAATGTAACAGAACGTGAAGTTATAAGCCGACAGCTACAGCTCATGCAAGCGAGCGTACAACACTACCCAACAGAGGACCTCAACACAACTGACACAAGTTGCCCGTCCAGGACCTCAGCTGAACACTTCGATGACAGACCTGGTCCCTGTCCAGAGGAAAACGCTCGCATCCCTGTATCAATGCGACTGAGCCAGCAACTATGGTCAACCGACCGTACCGAAGACAATTGACTGCAGCGCATACATTTGTTGACCGCTGAAGGAGCTCCACGCTTGCAAGCCTGCATCAATGCTGTCGAGCTAGCGATCATCGCTAACCCGATCGCATTGGATGCAGTTTTGAAAGCTGCATGCACTGCAAGGGTGCTCTACAGCTCCCAATGATAATGATGCTTGGAAAAGAACTACTGAGCGGACTCTGAGTGCGCCCTGAATGCCGTAGCTACTGCTGTCTCTTCTCACAATAGATCATGTTTCACCTCCTGTTTCACCGTGTATTCGTTTTTCACCACTCTCGTTGCGACCCGGCGTTGTCGGTGTTTGCTTCGAAGTGCCAGGGTGTATGTTATGCCTGAACGGCTGCTCTCTGTGATCTCGGGGATCCTGGCTGGGGGGATCCCTGGTTTCCGCTTTGAGCTGTGTTGCTTTTCGCCCTCTTACCTGGCCCTTTTTTGTGTTTCTGTGTTTTCTCGGTTTTGCTTCTCATCGGTGGCCATTCTCTAAATGACACACAAGATGTCATCATGCATGTAATTCCCATTGCTGGTTGCGATCCCACTCCTCTGTTTCTGTTTGGTTTGTTTTGGTTGTGGTTGTGTGTTTTTTGTTTGTTTGTTTGCTTCTTTTTTGGTTTGGGTTGTTTTTGATGGGATTGCTCACTGGACTTTGTATTGGTCCATTACCAGCTCTTTTGAGGCTATCGACGAATTGACGGCCTTGCATGCTAATTTACAATTCATCTTTTTTGCTGCGGTTGAACGTGTGTAACGACCTGGCGAAAGCCATGAAGGCGTTGGACGGAGAAAAAAAATTCGAGCAATTTCGAGAACTCGAAGCACTTCGAAAAATTGCAATTGTGCAGACTTACAAAAATTTCCGGAACAAGGAGACAAGCAATTTCAGATTTTTTTTGGGAAACTTTAGGAGAGCAGAGCAGATCACCTGAAACGACTTCTTCGAGAGACTCGAGGAAACTTAAAGAAGCTTGAAGCGGCTTAAGAGACTTAATGCGACTTAAGGCGACTTTTTTTTGTGGTCGGCGCCCGTTGCCTTTCGGCGGGTCGCACTTGAGACTCCCGAGTGGACCAGCAGGGATTCGAACCACCACCGGCAGTCTGTCAGCGCTGGCAAGACCAACGCCATACCAACTGAGCCATCGGGTCGCCTAATGCGACTTAAGGCGACTGAGGGGACCCAAAGAAACCCAAGAGACTTGAGACAACTCAATTATTTTTTGGCTGTCATGGTTGTTGTTGTGTAGGTGTTGTTGTTGTTGTTGTTGTTGTTCCCTCGGACCCTTTGTTACCGCGCACCGTATTATGTTTTTCCTACTTTTTCCTCTGTGTTTTGCTGTTTTTTCCCTTTTTCATTGCGCAAAAAATGCAGGATTTTTTGCGCTGCTCTTCTGGGTGGGGGTTTGGGGGTTTGGGGTTTTGGGGGAG